CACACACACACACACACAGAGACACACAGACATAAGGACAAGATTGCAAAATTATGTTTTTCCGAAACAGCGAGGTGTAAAACGTCGAGATTTGTAAAAATCTCGATTTTTTTTTCACGATTACAAGACTTTCTCTATACTTCGTATATACGAAAAAGTAAAAATGCACTAAAAAGTATAAAATGTACAAATTTTTTTTTCAATTTTGCATGATTATGTAGACATTTAAAGGCTATTGTTTTTATTCGTGAAATTCTACTATATATATATATATATATATATATATATATATGTATATATATATATATATCTATATCTATATCTATATCTATATCTATATCTATATCTATATATATAAAAAGCAATGTATGTCTGTGTGTGTGTGTGTGTGTGTTTGTCCTTTATGCATTAATACACCTCTCATCACATCGCCGTGAAACTTTGGGAAGTTGTTGAGAATATTACTGGGGAGGTTTCTGCGAAAAAAAAATTTCAAATTCGCAGGGGTGGCGCCCCGACAGGGCGCGATTTGTTTTTTTCTATATATTGTATATAAAAATAGAAGTCGATTTTGATTTGACACCGTTCATCCGATAGGCATGAAATTTTGGTGAGTTCATTAAAACACTTTGGGGAAGGGTTTTGTAAAAAAATCATTTTTAATTTTCCAAGGGCGGCGCCACGGGAGGGTGCGATTTTTCTGTATATACGGTATATAAAAATAAAAGTCGATTTTGGTGTGACACCGTTATCCGATAGCCATGAGACTTTGGGGGAGTTGATTGAAACAATTCAGGGAAGGGTTCTGTAAAAAAAAATCCTTTTTTAATTTCGCAAGGGCGGCGCCGCGGGAGGCTGCAATTTTTCTCTATATACGGTATATAAAAATAAAAGTCGGTTTTGATTTGACACCGTTCATCCGATAGGCATGAAACTTTCGGGAGATGATTAGATCACTCAATGGTAGGGTTCTGCAAAAAAAGTATTGTACAATAGGGTACAACTTTCGTCAATACACGGTTTGGCGCCGTTTTAGAGCGATTATGTTGGCAATTGGTCAATCGAGCGTCCTGCATAGCGAGTAAGGGGTACTATAATATTCAGCGGTAAAACTAGAACAGGCTTCTAAAAATAACTTTGTAACGCCAGGAAATCCTTCTGTACAATTTCGTCACCTTGCCAAAGAAGAAAAAAAACTTTTTGAATATGAGGAGCCAACTGTAGAGTTTCGTCACTTTGCGAATGATGCAATAAGCATCTATTATTAGACAATCCTGTCAGAAATTCAGATCGAGCATCTAATAATAGATTTAAAACACGTCAAATACTTTTTTTACATGTTAAAGAAAAAAATCCTGTTCATTTGTGTCACTTTAGCGAATGACGAAATCTGCATCATTGTTAACAGGATACTATTTGGCAAGATGGCGCCTGTTAGTTTTAAGGAGCCAGGGGTCGTACGCCGCGCCTATGCGGTAGTATATTCGGGGGGTGGGGGCTCTCAAAGCGCCCCTCTACGTCTCTGACACATGGGCGGTCACCGAAGTGTGTTCTACCATACTATTTCGGTGAGTGATTAATGTACACTCAATGTTTTCATGCGGTAGTGTAGGTAAACCCTTTTCCCGATATTTATGATCCAAGCGCAGGCATTGTTTACATTTAAATAACTCACTTTTAGAAAAGACGGTCACGCATCTAAGAACATATGATAGGTAACGCATTGGTGAAATCCTTCTAATACATTTCGTCAAACTTTCTTCTATCCCCGCGGCAACGCGCGGCGGACGGATACGCTAGTATATATATATAAAGCAATGTATGTCTGTCAGTATTTTGTTTGTGTGTCTTTTATGAATTACCACACCTGTCATCCAATCGCAATGCAAATTTTGAAGTTGTTGAGAATACTCCTGGGGAGGTTTCTGCGGGGGAAAAATCAAATTTGCTGAGGTGGCTCCCTGGAATTGCGCGATTCGAATCTTCTCTATATAGTAAATATGATATATATATATATATATATATATATATATATATATATATATATATATATATATATATATATATATATATATATATATATATATATATATATATATATATATATAAAGTCGGAACCGATTCGATACAGTTCATCCGAGTGTTATGAAACTTTGGGGATTTGATGAAAATACTTCGTGATGGTTTCCGCGAAAAAAAAATTTTAGATTCTCAGGGGTGGTTTCCAGGCAGGGACAGTTCGATTCTTCTTAATATATTTTATATAAAATAAAATTTGATTGCGGTTTTACATACCTCATTCAAGCGACATGAAACTTTTGGGAGTTGAAGGATTCAGCAAAAAAAAATTCTTATGGGATGGTGCGATTTTTAGCAATACACGGTTTGGCGCGCAGCAGAGTTCCAAAGCGGCTATCTTTGCACTTGGTATCCCTTAATCGGACGTCCTGCATAGCGGGTTAGGGGTACTTCTATATTTCCCGTTAAAACTTCAACGCGCAAAGCCGGCCGCTTCCCGGCTATTGCGTGACCCAAAGCGCAACGGGTTCCCATGTGAGCACTATGGCGCCTACGTTTATTTAAACAACACGCTGGACAACAATAATCGTTAACTATATCAAATCAGACGCGTCCCCCTGCACTCATGTAGAGTAACATTCGGCGCCCTGGGCTTTCCCGTGAGCATAATGGCGCCTACGTTCGTTCATAACTGGAATAGACCATAGATAAGATGGGGCGTTATAGTCGCTCATTAAAATTAATCATGCGCGTTTGCCAGCGCCCCGGCACAGTGCAATTTGGCGCTCGAACAATCCCGTTAGCGCCATAGCGCCTACGTGATTTTCAAACAGGGCGATAAAATATGCATAAGAAGGGGTTTTTAGAGAGGTTCATTAAACATAATCAGGTGCGTCCGCCTGCATACCTGAAAAGTATGATTTAGCGCCCTGTTCTAACCTGTGAGCACTAATGCGCCTACGTTAAATTTAAGCACCCTAAAATAGTGACAAGGTTGCATGCGACGTTCGATGAACCCAGTCAGGGGCCGTACGCGGCGACCCAGCTGTAGTGTAATCGGAAGCTCACGAGTTCCCACCCACGTCACCTACAGGCGTTGAGTTATTAACGTTGATATTACGGTTAGTAATTAACGTACACGCAAGGCTTTCATATAGCACTTACATGGCGGGCTGGAAGGTAGTGTAGTTAAAATTGTGCCCTGATAAATATGATCCAAGCCCAAGGACTGATTACATTTAAATAACTCAGTTTTAAAAAAAACAAAGTCAGGCTTCAAACAATGTAGGATTGATAGAGCATTGACTAAAAACCCTCCTTATATATGTCTTCAGAATTGATTTGTCTTTTATGCATAACTACATCTTTAATCAGATCGCCATGAAAGTTTAGGGGAATTGTTTAGAATACTCCTCAGGTGGATTCTGCTAAAACAATATTTCTTTTTCGCACGGGCGGCGCCCAAACAGGATGCTATTTGGCACCCCACGTTGTCCCATGAGTGCTATGGCGCCTACGTTTGCTTTAAACAGTTGATAGGCTATGGGTAAGATGTGGCGATAAAAAAAAATGTAAGGCATTATTCTATGCCCGCGGCAACGCACAGGGACTGGCACGCTAGTAATGCTATTAAAAGTAGGGAAAAAAATGACTTTATATATACAATAATGAACTAAGATTTAAATTACTAAAAAAAGAATGATTGTTAAAAAAAATGTTTTTAATACAATTTTTTTTAATGTATTGTTGTATTAACTTAAACTCTTTAACTTCACAACCAGCAATTTAATGTTAATATACATTTCAAATCTAATTTAATGTATATATATATATATATATATATATATATATATATATATATATATATATATATATATATATATATATATATGTGTTTCTGAGTAGTTAATATCGTATAGCATCGCATTATTCGCATTGTATTTTATTATATTGTATCTGTTATCGTGTCGTGTTGAGTTGTATTTTTTGTATTTGTTCGTTTTTTAGCCTTTTTTTTCCTCAGACATGTAATTTACAGCGTCAGTTGTGTGTGTTGGCTTTAGTATTACCCTTTTCATCACCGGCTTGTGAGGACTGATACAGATTTACAATAGTAATATTTCTTTCATACTTGTAGCCTACTTTCATTCATTTACGATGGTTTACTTATACATAGATCTAATACAAAACGTTTAAATATTAAAAATAAATAAATAAATAAATAAATAAAATAAAAATAAAAAACCTGAAACTGAAAATGCAAATATGTAATTAAATGATGATTCTTGTTGAGTATTGTTACGAATTGTGTTGTACTTCTTTTTTTTCCATTCAGTTGTGTTTCGTTTATGTTATTTTTTTGTTTGTTGGTGTTGTATTGTGTTTTACTTTGTGGTTTTACTTTGATGTATGTTTTTGCTTGATGTTTAGCGTAGCCTACTTTGTTTTAGCTGAGTTGTGTTTCGTAACGTTTTCGTTTTGTTAATGTTATGTTAGGGGTCATCCATAAATGACGTGACCCTTTTTTTTGACGATTTTAACCTCCCCCCTCCCCTCCGTCACAAGTCGTCACAAAAAGCCAGACCCCCCCTCCCCCATAAAATGACGTCACACCAGCCTAAAAAAACCCTCAAAATTGCAGTTGAATTTTTTTAAAACATCGATATTTTTCTTAAATCTTGTCTGAACTCTGTCAAAATAGAGTACTTTAATCAATTCTTATTACAATTTATTAAAACAGTATTCTAAAATGCAAAATAAAGTCTAAATTTCGTTTTCTAACATTGCTTTTTTATAATGCAAAAAGTGTGACGTCGCACCATCTGAACCCCCCCCCCCCCTCCCCCTCATCACACACCGTCAAAAAATTACGGACTACCCCCTCCCCTCTACGAGTGTGACGTCATTTATGGAAGACCCCTTATGTTAGACATCGTTAAGTTCAAATCATGGGCGTGTTTAGCATTTTAAGCTGTTTTTTAATTATTTCCCTTAGGAGATTAATGTTTTATAAAATAGACTCTTGATGTAATTCATGTTTAATTGCTAATAAAAAAAACTTGTATTTGAAGCTTAAAACTCATATCTCCTGTTCGTATTTATATCAATAAAACTGTTTAATGTACCATACTACACGTGAATATGGAAGAGTCTGGTTTGACACCCTTAATGTCCTTCATTATGGCTTTGGACAAAGTAAGCCCAAATATAAATACGCCAACAACAATAAAAACTATGGCGATCACTCTTAATAAGTGGACTTTCTTATTTTGTTTCTCGCCTGATTCCAGTCTATCCTGCATCGTCTTCAATAAGCACAGACCTGAAAAGTTTAAAATATATAGGTGTACTGTTTTAGATGGTCGAATGACGGAGTTTTTTAACTAAATGAATAACAAAGTAATTTACCTGGAAAAACAAAAATGTAAGCTGCAGCAAAAGCCCCAAGAATCTCTATGACCACGCCTATATTCGGAATGAAAACTGAGAGTATCAAGGTCAAGGTGAACCACACCAATGTCGTTATGACGCGTCTCGTCTTTTCTCTGTACAAAATTTCTTCTGGGCTCATTTTCCACAACATGCTCCACACTGTGTCAAACGCTGCCCTGTGGAAATAGGTACATAACATATATCTGTGCAGTAGTAATAAATGATAGTGTCGTTGCTCTATACTTTTTGATGCTTAAAGCAAACACAATGACATATATATATATATATATATATATATATATATATATATATATATATATATATATATATATAAAATTTCCGCGACTATATATTTTTCTACAAACCAATTAAAACTATTGTATTTTTCTCATAGTACATTGCTAGAAAATATACATTTAGTGCTGAATAAAAATGATTTTTTTAATAAACTAATCACCTCCGTAATTACGTTCATACGCAGGTGGATAAATTAGATAATTATTGTACATACTTTTTTGATAATGAAGTTTATAGTTGTTAAAAAAGTAATTTCCATTTTTTTTGTGTTCTAATTTTGACAAAACCTTAATTTATAATTGTTTGCTTGTTATTAATTAATACCCTGTTTATTGTTTCAGCATTAATATTTTTGCTGACCTCATGTTTCTGTTTACAAATAGGCCTGCTTGATGTATTTTTAGAACTAAGTATGTAAAAGGCTTACTTCCCACAGAAGCATAAAATAGGGTAGGTGGTATATGTTTTGACAGAATAAAATACGACAGCCACCATCACATCAGTCGTTGGGTTAAATGACAGCAATATGTCATTTGTGACATGGTCGCCAAACTGTAAATAATGTAATTATTTTTTGAGTGACCTTGATGTTACTATGCACACATGCATTTAAAATATCTAGGTAGAGTAAACAAAAACTTAATTAACTCTTTAAGACCGTAATCTTCTTCTTCTTCGTTCATTGAGGCCATTGACTCCGATTTCAACCTTTTCTTTTTGGATTTGCTTCCATAGCCTTTGTCCAACCATGAACAAACTACAAGGCAGCAGTTGTTTAATTTAGGAGTTGTCTCTCCTAGAAGAGTTGCTGTCCCCAGCTAACGAGCCTCAACTGTCCGAGGGTTCGAACTCGTAATTATTTTCACGTTTTACCGGAATTATTTTTTTTCACTCATTTTTTTCAGTACGCCTGTGGCTAAATGACCCATATTTTTTTTACCCGTTAATTTAAACCCCACAGATTATTAATAAAAATTAATTGTAATTGAATACCCTACACACTGATATAAATTTTAAGGAATTATTTATTTATTGAAGAAAGATAATTACTTATTTTAAAAGAAGAAAAAATAAAGAGTTGATTTTTCGTGCAAAAATTACGCTTCTGTCGGGAAAATTAATAATAAGAATTAATTTTCATGAGTTCTCATTCATAGAAAACAAAAGTACGTCAATTTTTCTACAAAAATCATGGATCGGATTAGTCTTAGAAATAATGAGTTTACAGTTTCTTGTCATATCTTAAGTGTTTTAACTTAAGAAACATTCACTGTAATATCTAGTAAAGTAGTTTTCACATTAAATTTTCGAATGTTACAAAGTCTAAGACATGAGATTACCAAACCTGTAGATATCCCAGAACTGCAGTGACCGTGTATGTTACGACAAACAATATCATGGCGAGTGTTACTGTTTTAGAGAACTCTCGCATATTACGCTTGGCCAAACACGAGTAGATGGGGACTGAGTTTAGGTGACACTGAAATAATTTTTAATACAAAAAGTATTTTTTTTAATTATAAAATAAGCTGGAGCACATATAATGTATTAATCAGCTAAGTGGCGTAGGCAGTGGGGTTAAGGGGGCGGAGATTATAAGTTATAACGTATACTTTTACTCCCGAAATGACTAATTTTAATGTTTTATGTTGTTACAGCTATTGACTTGTGTCGCTATCATTTAGTGCTTAACCACTTAACACTCAGGCTGGGTCGAAACCTATAACAACAATGTAAACCATTGTGATGAGAATTGTCTGTAGATTACTATTTTCTTTATAGCTCTAAATTAATTTATAATAACCTGGAACGCAGTAGGCCAAAGGAAAGCTAATTTGGTGCAAGCTTAGTTATGTGTTCGCTGCTATGATATCAAGTTAAAAAAATTAGGGAATATTTCCTACCATGTGCAAGTTTAACCGAACTAACAGGCAAAGGACTTGCAAATGTTTTAATGGACACTATCGAAATGTACACTTGATATGATGGAGCCGCTGCAATGAGTGGGCGACTAAAACATTAGGTTGCTGATTAATTTGATTTGGCTATTTACAGGCATTGTTGATCTTACAATCTAAATCTAGCACTTTCTAATGCCTGTGAACTACCTGCTGTAAGAAAATATATGGGAACCCTTAATAGCGCATACAAATTTTGTAACACACCAAAACGACAATATTTACTTGCAAATTTAATACAGAAATTAACACTTGAAGTTTCTCGACTTATACGATTGTGCACAACAAGATGGATTGGCCGTCAAAGGTTTTGTAAAAATTAACAAAACACTGTAGATGCATTTGAAAATAGGAGAGTTTGAAGTTTCTCTAAAAGTAAACGCAAAAATATTTTACAAATATTTACTAGGCTTATTACATATACAAACTTGACAGACCTGATATGCAAAACAAAAATCTGGGACAACAAGGATGACATCGATCCAGGAATGTGGACTGAAAGTAGAATAATATGGGACTTAGATTTAATATTGTTTCAATACAATACTTTAATTTAAGGACATAAAATATACTTTATTGTATTCTTTTTTTTAAAATAATCTATTTTATAATTTTAACTGTACACATCGAGACTTCTGTCTTGTTGTCTCGATGGTTATTTCTACACCAAACTTTTTAATAGAGAAACAAAGAAAACGAAATTAAAAGATTAGCGTAATTGGTTGAGTGAGTTGGTAAAATTAAACATTTAAGATAATTCTTTACATAAACCAACCACATAAAATCTAAAATAACAATACATACTACCTTCACTTAAAAACATCGTAATACAGAAAAGCTAACATACCGCGTTTCAATTTTTCCTTGATTATCATGTGCTTGAAAATATTTGAAGGTAACGAGACCAACCATGTAAATAACACCCAAAACACCAAGGATACTTGGATGGTAAAATTGTTAACATGAAATATACATAAATGCAATAATTTTAGATGTCAATATATGTATAACAGGCAAGCACAGTTATTGTAGATATACAAAGTAGATTTAACATATTGATAGTTTCCCCCCCCCCCTCTCTCCTCCGTCACACATCGTCACAAAAAGCCAGACCCTCCCTCCCTAAAATGACGTCACACCTCAGTCTACAACCCCCCCCCCCCTCAAAACTGCAGTTGAATTTTTTTTAAAACATCGATCATTTTTCCAAAATCTTGTCTGAACAACTAGATTATTTTAATCAATTCATATTAAAACAGTTTTCTTGTTTTCTAAAACGCGATATAACGTCTAAAATTCATTTTCTAACATTGGTTTTTTATAATGCAAAAGTGTGACCTCGCACGATTTGAACCCCCCCCCCCCCTCCCCCTCATCAAATACCGTCACAAAATTTCGGACCCCCTCCCCCCTACGAGTGTGACGTCATTTATGGACGATCCCATTGCACTGGGTCATCAGAGTTTAACTGATTTTGATTTTTTCCTGTAGAAATTCTGATTGAATAACTCAGGTTATTTATTTAGGTTTCAATGTAGAAATCAAAATTAATGTTTGCTAGATTATTTTCTTTTCTCTCATGTTTTTAGGTTTAAAATTAAATTAATAAGATGTACTAAATCTGGACCCGTGTATTCTCTATGTAAGAGTCAAATCGCAGAAACTTTTTAATGAAAACATACTATAGGATGTATCATTAAGCAATATGCAGTTAATAATGGTCAAAATGTGATGTTTATGGTTGATATTATCGATATTACATCATAATAATCTTACAGATTTTGTAGTTATTAGAATAAAAATTATCAAAAGATATTTACTATAAAAATGTGTATAAACAATTCACTGTTTTATTCTTAAAGTGAATTAATTAAAAAGCGCAACACAAACCTACCTGGTATATCTTAAGAAATCGATTCTTTTGGGAAAACACAATGGTAGTATGAAGGCTATAGACGTGACCGATATTATAAAGGCTCTGGTCATGTAGAATGGATTTGTAGTACAGTAAGTGTCACGAGCTACATTTAGAAAAACTGAAAGAAAATAATAAAAAATTAAGAAAATAAATTTGATAAAAACATTTGTATAATAATACATTGAATTATATAGGCTTGGACGAATGCATATATATATATATATATGTATATATATATATATATATATATATATATATATATATATATATATATATATATATATATATATATATATATATATATATATATATACACACACACAAAATAATATATATGTGTGTAGGCCTATATTTAAAAGTTTTGTAACAACCCACAAACTAAATATAACCTTATTTTAAAAGAAGACATTTTGAACTAAATCAAAGGTAACAAACATAATAAAACCAACTCACACAGTTCCCATAGATCACCTATTATAGCTAGAAACATTATACACGTGCTAAAGTTGGACAGAGAGATACAAATAGCGCAAGCTAGCTGGGCTTTAGGGCCACAAATGGACAGCACCAAATCTTGATAGGTGCTACTGGCTGATTTGTCGGAACAGTAACATAAGACGAGCACTGTGGGCACTAGAAACACGAGGAAAACCTGTCGATACAAATTATTTTAATTTTAAAATAATATTGTCATTCGATGATATGAGATGTGTTTTAATTAAATTTCGATTGGAAAACATTTTGGAAGCTATCTTTAAAAGCACGAAAAGCTTGCATAAAAACGTTTGTTTTCATAACAAGATTTTGTGTAATAAAGCACTAAAAAGAATAAGATAGAATAAAATAAAAGAGTTTTTTTAAATATTATATTATTCTGGGAAATTATAAAAATCGTTAGAAATAACTTCCGTCTAACATAAATCACTAAGAATTTGAATGAATTTAGAAATAAGATAATGTAATTATGTACCAGAAATCATTCAAAATTAGAAAAAAAAACTAACAATTGTAGATCTATGTTTTACTAAAATATAAATTTCGTCAAGATAAGGGATATGGTAAGAAAGTTACGTGTCATATACAGACAAACAAATACGGATACAATTATTAGGAAAGGCTTCTCCACCTTGGCGACACGCAAATGATAAACATTTATAGATCTTGATTCATATTTTTTTTTTTTGCACAATAGGCCTAAAACGTCTGTGATCATACTAAATTTTACAAGAAATCTTTTTTAAAATATGGCAAACGATAAAATTGTAGCTACATTTGTAAAAGTTAAAGCTGTTTGAGAAACCATCAATTACATTCATTTTCATATTCTGTAGTTAATATAAGCCGCTGAAAAGTCGATTTGAATCCAGTGGCGTAGCTACCGTAAAGCTAGCGTAAGCAAGGCATAGGGGCCCAAGGCAAATAGGGGCCCTTATTCGAACGTTTGAGGGTGGGGGTGCAAATCGAAAGTCTGAGGGGGGTGCAAATCGAAAGTCTGATGGGAGGGGGGTGCAAATCGAAAGTTTGTCCCCGGTCGCCGGGAAGGGTCGCTACGCCTCTGAGGGGCCCACTAACACTTTTTGCATAGGGTCCCAAAAATCCTAGCTACGCTACTGTTTGAATCATTTTTATCAATTAAACATTTAATAAAAACGACCTCAACCCGCCCTTCAAGTCAATCAAAGTGGCCAGGAAAAGTAAATCAATTAAAGTCACAACACTTGTTTTCCATGATAAAATTCACGATACAGTCAATGGGGTATAGCCTAGAAGTTTATGTATATAACATAATATAATCAACTCAACACCCTGACTTTACTAATCCAATTTAAAAATAAAAGCGTTTGCTATTTTACTATTATATCACTCGTAATTATATGTTTGAATATTTCTACTCTTAATGAAACCAGAAGTCACTTTTTTTTCAAATTTATGTAATAGGTAAATTAGAAAAAGCATGATAAAACCCCGGAGTCAAAGAAAATAAAATTTGTTTTCAATGTTTCTTTTAGACTTTTTTCTCCGGGGGTAGGGGGTTGTCGAGGGAGGGTGTGGGTGTCGAGTAGACTAACCTTTTGGAAGGAGCGGATACTGGTAAAAGTGTTTATATCTATGTCAATTATTTTTCGATCGTGGGACGCGGGGTGGCGGAAGACATTCTCCAACTTCCCTTCCCCCTTTGTAGTGATTTACTTGAAAGAAACTCAGCCCACGTTTTGAGAATACCCAGCAAATTATCCTTTCTACGACCGTTAGTTTCGACTAAGTTTAGCAAACTTAAACTTCATAGCCAAGCTGATAAAAAATAATCATTCACGCCTCCGCAGGACGATACTCATTAAAAAATATAGGTCGGTTAAAAATAACTAACAACGTATTAAGTTGGAAGTATATTTGTAGTTAACTCATGACTGCAAATAGCCATTCTATTTTAAACGTTATCTACTTACTGTCTGCAAATTTAGAAGGCAATCAAGATACTGACTGTAAATGTAAGCGTTCATCATCTTACTAACTTAATTTGGAACCAGACTCAACTTACACTTACTGACTGCAAGTATAGAAGAATATGCATCAACTTACTGATTGCAAACATACAATGTATGGATCATCTTACTGGCTTAATGTGGAACCAGACTCAACTTACCCTTAATGACTGAAAATATATAAGACGCTGCATTAACTTACTGATAGCAAATATACAAGAGTATGGATCAACTTACTGACTGTACAGCTATTCCTGAGATGACCCCTCCAGCACGATGGTAGGAAATTGGAAGGTTTAAAAGTCCTCCACCTAATGTACCGTTGAACATGAGAAACGCTAAGACAAGCCATCCTGAGCCTGGCGATAGAAAAACAAAAACATTTGTAAATCCTATTTTAATTAAGCTTTACTATCTTATCTATTTAAAACAGAAAAATATTGAATTTGTTTTAAAATACCTTATAGGGTTTTATAATAAATTATGCTTTAATTTCGCTGCAGAAAATGTAGCATTGTAATTAAAGCAATACTTTGAGAGATAAACATGTTTGATACTATTGAATAACCGAACATCATATTTTGAATTGCACGTTATCTATCCTAAAGTAATCGTGGGATAAGCTTTTTATACATTATTTATTAAGATTTTTTACAACATTTTTTCAAAAAAATTGACCTGAATGTTTACTTTTGCTGTCTTTCAATGAACTGTAATCTGTTATTGACTTAAGGTCCTCTCTCCCAACAAGGCGTTCTATGTTGTCGTTGTTCACTTGAATACCCATGATATACCTGCAATAAATTAAACTTAAATAGTAAACCTACGTCTATTTTTTTTTTATTTTAACTAGTTGATAATAAACAATATAATTTCATTCTAATTATCACTGATTGTTGTTTGAACGGATAACTAGTGTATTTTATTTTTAAAAAAGCATAATTACCATTAATGAGTAATCAAAATTTTACTCTCGGCTAAAACTTAAACCAATATAATTTTAAATATAATAAAAACACCACATAATATGTTACCACGGTATTTACATTGTGTATATGTTATGTAAATCTTTAAAGCGCACACATGCTAACACAAAACGACTCGAGACCCCATCCAGGGTTCGAATACCTGGGACTTGTCTAACGGATGGTTACCTTACCCACGTTAGAGAAAGTAAAATCGGCTGTGCTTTCTGCAAATCACATTATCCTCTGATCAACCGATATCATCGAAACAGCTGAACTCTACTTCATGTACCTCATGGACCACCAGGTTCCTATGGGTACTGTATAGAAATTGTCTCTGCAATGTCCTTAATTATATTCTAACTACACCTTTGATCTAAATGCTATAACATCTGCGTTTGACAAACTTTACAGTCCACGCTGTGTTGTGTACACCACACAAAAAATCAGCAAGTTAAATAGGCCATGACTATACACCTGTCACATATCAGCTTTTATCTACTGGGGCAGATATCCTGCTAAACTCTGTTAACGTAATTCGTTCGTGCACGAATGTTCAGAGGCGTAGCTTGCGGAAGAGGGGGGGGGCGGAGACCCGAAGGGGGGACCAAAAGGGGTAGAACAAAATTAAAAAGCTTTTTTAAACTGCAATTTTTGAATTATAAACAGTAATACAACATTCATAAAAAATGTGTTAATAACAAGCTTTTATGTAATAATGCACTAAAAAGGAGAAAATAAATTATACGCTACTATTTAAATAACTATAAAGAAAAGCGTGGGTCACTTTAGTATCTATTGGATACCTTTACTAATATTTAGGAAGAGACCTACGCTTTCCTTCATAGTTATTTAAATAGCAGTGTATAATTTATTTTCTCCTTTTTAGTGCATTATTACATAAAAGCTTGTTTTTTATGAATTTTTTTAGTACTTTACATGTTTTTATTCACAATAGAGTTACATGACTAAAAACCATTGCGTGCCTTTTGATGGCGATGACACGCTATTGAACCTGATGACGCGTGTGGAGTAGTTGGATAGAACTGCATACTAATTTGGTCAAAATTTTAATTAATTCATAAAAAATTAATTAGGCATCCAATTAGTTAAATTTAATGTCATGTTGCATTAACTTCATGTCTTGACCCACGTGCCAACTACGAACCGTATCTGTGAGTTAGAAGTGCCAGTAATTTCGCTCGGGCGTTTCGATCTAGACGGATGACTGACGACAGAGGAAGTGAGTTAAATAAAAGCTTGTAAAAATTAACAAAATTTAACGGCTACGAGCCTTTGCATACTGTTTAAATAATATCTACCTTGATTGTGTAACTGTAAAACATACCCTTAAGATACAGTGACCGGCAAAAACGCTTTCCAGCTTTTCTTTGACAAGGTGGGGAAAGGGGGGGGGGCTTTTTCGCGACAAAAATCTGAAGGAACTAAACTGGATTGGTGAGTTGATCAACTTTACCACTTAATAAAGAAACCATTTAGACTAATGCGTATTGTACGATTGCGTAACTTTAAAAGAGTTATTACCTGGAAATTTCTACCACCTTTGTTCAGAATGGTGGGGGGGAAGCGCTTTTTTTTGTTAAAAAAAGTTAAAAATATTGTAAAAATAATAAACACTTATCGGCTTTGGCTTTATAACCGCGTGCTGTTTTTGATAGTGAGCTGGCGTAAAGAAGGATAAGGAGGGGGGGGGGCAGACTCAGGAATTCGAAAATGAAATATTTCTTAACCTTTAAAACATAAAACGCTATTTTTTAAAATAATAATTGTTATTTTAGGGAAGAAGCAGGCGGAAATAACATAACCTTCTTTTAATACAAAGATTATGTTTTGGTGATGACAATGACGACATAGCGGGGCTGGGATAAACAGTAAATAAAAGTAGTGTTGTCAACAATGTAGAGAAAGACACAGTCGATTTACATTTTAAACGTTTTAACAGGTGTTTCTTAATTGCGTAGCGCGATGGGGTTTTTTTCCAGGTGAACAATCGTGCGTGACCCAAGGTTAATTGTGTCCAACCTGATTAGGATGAGGCTGTAACAGGTGGGTATTGTTACCTCACTTAGAACCGTCACGCTTGGATAGCCTGTTTTTTTTTTTCTCTGACGAGACACAGTGACCGTCAAGTGTTGCAATATTGAATAAATATAAAAACAGAAGGTAATTGTAACAACAGGAATATTGTTGATAGGATGATACTGTCGTTATTGTGGGTTCGTTCATCCAAGAATACGATCAACAGTGCTTTGTAACTTCAAACTTTATTTACATAGATCCATAAGAAATAATAACCATATTCCACAGTAGAAAAATGACTATTACATTATAGTCTAGAACAGGGGTCTCCAAACTTTTCAGTCCGAGGGCCGCATTAACTATCAAATTTCAGTTCGGGGGCCAGTTTCTTCCAGGCATGTCTTTGATTTTTCTGGGCAAAGTTCCTAAGCCATCACCAACTAACGATTTTTCCTAGGACAAAAAGATCTCCGCGGGCCGGATGCGAGGACTTCGCGGGCCGCATTCGGCCCGCGGGCCGTAGTTTGGAGACCCCTGGTCTAGAACAAACTGACGTACTGACATCGTACATCTTACTCCACAGTCACAGGCAAGCACCCCCTCGTTCACCTTGCGCTCCACCTTTTATACACCACTTTATCTCCCCTTACGTCAATGAGCGATCTCACAAAAGCATGGGAAAATATATGACGAGTCGCTCAGACAGTCCTTCCGTTAGCTAGATACTCTACATTCATGCAACTTCATGTAAAACACAATATAATAAACATACCCAATAATACAGTCTGTGACAGTAATTAACAGAAGTTAGTTCCCCTGAACTTACATGTATAGTTGTAAATAACAGTAAACGTTTGTAGAATATCCTGCTTTATGAAAATAGACTAAAAATCAAATTCTGAAGTTTTGAAACCGGCAAATAAAGTATCTCCTTTGGCACATTTATATTTTTTTTTACCAATAACGTTTTAGGTAGTTGTTTTCGCTTATTTCAGCGCTAGTAATGTTCTCATGCCAACATACGCTCAATTAAAAGACGCAGGCAATTGTTAAAGAAAGTCTGAAGTTGGTTGTTTTGTTTGGGTTACTGTCCACGTCTCAGAACTATTGAGGAGAACAAATTTAGTTTGCTTTTAAACAGTTAATTTTGGAAAGCGTACACAGTGCTCTTGGCGTCTAGATTGTTGGGTGGTTGTTGATGCCTATCAAGACTTAATTTTCTTAAACCGATTTTCTGTTAGAAAATGGTTATGCATCTATATAAATATACGTAGTTATACACATTGAAAATGTACTGGTTACATGGTTTTAAAAAATTTCGTTCGGAGTTGAAATTGAGCTGTAGAATAGATTTACAAATTTAAGCGAGTCTAGAGACAAACTGCGTTCAATTTATTTCAAATGCGTTCATTCTGTCTTATATATAACTATAAGTCTTTCTTAGAAATAAATGACTGCCCTTCAAAATAATGTTTGCTTCTTCACCCCATTTGTATAAATTTATTTATAACACTGGTGGTGTGGAATATATATATATATATATACTAGGCATGCTGCCCAGCTTCGTTTAGGCTTTCGAAAACTTTGAGAATTTGAATGCTTAATTAATTCACCCGAGGGTCGGTCTACGACCTCAGGAGTTATGAAGAGGTTTCTACGTGGACACTTTTGGGTGACTTTTGTTCGACTTATAGCTCATATAAGGCGCCGGTCAGTCGAGGTCAGTTTTGACCCCCTCATCGTAGACTTTTCGGCCAACCGGCCCCGTGTTCTGTCGCCCCAAGGCAAGATCCTGCCAAATTTGAAGCGCCTGTGGCGCCGGGAAGTGCCCTATCGGGCACCCGACAACTTTGCTTTATATATTATAGAGATTAGAAAATTGCATAGATAAAAAAAAAAGATTTCAATAAAGTAATTAAGGCCTGAAATACTTTAGTATAGAAATGTATTGTTTGAATAGATTCTAGATCTGGGTAGGGTCTACATCTGTGTAAGTCTAGTTTTTCCGTAGATCTAGATCATCTAGATTTAGATCTGGAATCTCTAGATCTAGATGATCTAGAATATCTAGATCTAGAATATCAATATCTAGATTTAGAATCCTAATAGAAATTTTTTTTTAAAGTTAAGCCCGAGCAAAATTGTATTGTATGAATTTTATAGCGTGCGTAGATCTAGATCTAAATAATATTTGAATGAAATAGTTCATTTCTTTTTATTCTAAACACGGCAGATGACGTCATTGGTTAATGTATAAACATTAGTGACGTCACTGTTTTATGCATTCTTTTTCACAACTATAAATGCTTTTCCTGTTGCATAATTAAAACTGTTTTTCTACATTCGAATACGCCTTTATTTTTTTTATTTTTCTTCTTTAAATAAAATGTTGGTTATACATTTAAAACATCTAGCATATTATTTTCAACCAAAGTCCGTATCAAGTCCTCCATATATCGCTGCAGATTCTGATGTGATATCCGGCGAAAATATTTTGCGGACAGAGAGAGAGAGAGAAGTGCGCACTTGGTCTTTTATATATTAGGATATATATATATATATATATATATATATATATATATATATATATATATATATATATATATATATATATATATATATATATATATATATATATATATATATATATATATAGCAGTGTGTGTGTGAACGTGTGAGTGTATGAATAAAATAGTTTATAAGACTTTTATTGCTTTGATCCACAAAGATGGGGAAATTATTCGTAATAAAACTAAAACACGTTTCGCACTTTAAACTATTG